AAAGCCTGTTCTAATGTTTGAGTCTAAGGTTTATTTTTTAGCACCTGACGGCTCTTTTTTGCTTCTCATCCATAAATACTCTGCATCTTTTACGTGATTCAGTTTATTTTGAAAGGTCTCAACAGGATCTTGAGCTTTATTGTGAAAGGTTTATGTGGAAAATAAACAAGCGAATACGCAATGGTTTTACCTTTGTTGTTGCTAATGACAACGCATAAAAACAAGCGCTTGTCTATCTGTAGTGTGGTTATGGTAAATATATGTGTAAATATAAGAGAAAGAGAGAACTTTAAGAAATGAATATAGCCACTACAGTGACCATCAAAATAATGAAAAAATAACGCCGTAAAAAGTTTATTTTGCGACACCACGAAACAAATGATAGCGTAAAATGAAATGATAGACGTTTTTATATCGTCATCCAATATATATCGTTATATCGAACAGCTCTAGTTATATGCTCACCTTTCTTCACTGCAGGCACTACATGCTTGTTTGAAGGCTTACACACATTCACTCACACACTTTAACACACATGCATTCACACGCGTGCACACTGACCAACTCTGCTTCATCCAGGAGATGCAATACTGTCAGAACTCTTTTTTCCCCCCTCATAATGTAAGAAAGAGCTCCATGAAAATGGGAAGAAGGTCATTTTATTTCATGCCTCAGTCTAGGATGGATGGGATGCATAGCTTATTTTATTTGGCAGATCACTTAAAATTGTGATTCTGTTATTTCTACTTTTAATAATTTATCAGTTTTTTCTCTTTAGGAAAATGTTTCTTAAAGAAAGTGGAAATGTGATTGTGATATGGGATGTAAATACAGAGAAAGAGTTAAGCTCTTTTTGCAGATACTGTGTATTGTTAAACTATCAAAACAAGCATTTTCTAAAGTGGAAACAAATGAAAAGTTCATTTTAAAAGACCTGAATTTTCTCTCTTTTGAATGTTTACTGTCTATTAATTGAATACTCACTGCTGACATAATCGATGGTGCTAACAGTTTTCTTGCATATTTTGTATCGTGCAGCCCCATTTACCAAAAGGATACATGGCCATTTAAGAGCACATTTTATTTTCAGTTATGGAGTTATGAAGAAACAAAAGTTATTCAGATACAACTTGCTTTGCCTTCTATCTCAGTAATAGTTCCTGTGCACTTTTTTCCTTTATAGTGAACTATCAAAAACTGTCTTTTTTCTGGTCCTTCTTTTATCTCATCTCATCAGTTTGTCTCTTTTTTCCTCTCCTGTCCCTCAGACATAAAGGTTGCTCCTGCACTGACGGACTCACTGCTGCCCAACACACTGCCCTCCATCACCAACCTGTCCAGCTGCATGAAGGATGGAAAAGAGGAGGATGGGGGTGAGTTTGTCACTCTGTGGCCACATGTGACAGTTTAAGAGCCTTCGTATTGCTGTGTTCTGCTATGAAGCACACGAAGATGTAATTAGCTTCGAGCGGTTGTGTGTTTGTGTGTGTGTGCAGGGATCGAGCTGGACAAACTGGATACAGAGATGATCAAGTTCTTGGCCTATCAGAGGATCCAGCAGCTCTTTGTTCCCAAAGTGATTGTTGCATTGCTGCTGCAGCTGGGTTAAAGTCTGTTTTTAATGGCATCCTAACATCATTATCAGTACAGAAGTTTAGAGATTCACAGGTTTCACAGAGGGAGATGTTGAAACTTTGAAACTTGGCTTTAAAATTCCTTGGCTTCCAACTTTGACTTCTTCTCCTTCTATACCAGCGCTGATTTGGAGGATGGGCAACACCTATTGTTCAGAAGAATACTGCAGCACGTACATGCACCGTAACAGCTAGCATGAATGGATATAGCTGTGTGATGGTATTACTGGTGACACGCAAAGCTGCCAACACAGCAGGTGTACCAGGGCCCCTGGTTTGGTGGCTTTGCTCTGAGCTAATCACTCCTACAGATATAAAACTGGGAAGTGAAGCAGAAGCAGTGTGTGGAAAAACTAACAACACCCCATCATTCATCAGCTTGCAGAACCACCAGACAGATTTGCTGACGTGCTTTGAGTCATTGCACTGCCTGATCCTAGGTGACTTTTTTTGGACTTTAACTCCTGGGAATATTTTGCATGGTATCACATAAAGCTTCCAATCTTAATCTCTTATTAAAGATCATTTGGACAGATGTTTAATTAGTAAAGAGCTGCAGTGTGAAACAGCATTAAATCAAATTTCTCTGAAAGTGTTTATAGATGATGAGTGTAAAACATGTTTGCCAGAGTTCAGCTTTCCACATGATTTTAGTCTCATTTTCAAAACAAAGTGTTCATTTTTTATTTTGTGGATAAAATGTAATCAGTGAAATCTTTTCATGGTTGCATTGTCTCCACATTAATGGAGTTTACTGTGACACGAGTCTGTACAGACGTCTTTCTCAGACCTGCTGCATTTCTTCTTTGCGTAGGTCGCAGTAAGAAACAGGAAGAGGACGAGGGAGCCAACTCCATGGTGGGGTTGTTGCCAGTAGGAGGAGTGATGAGTAGCCAATGTCAGGGTGGTGCTGAGCCGTCGTGTAGCTGCAAAGCGAGTAGCTCCAGTCTAATTGGAGGCAGCGGGGCGGGCTGGGAGGGCACGGCCCTGCTCCACCATGGCAGCTACATCAAACTGGGCTGCCTCCAATTTGTCTTTAGCGTCACTGAGTTTGCCAGTAAGCAGCCCAAAGAGGAGCAGGCCACTACACCTGCTGCCAGTTGCACAAGCACCAACACCAGCAGCAGCAGTGTCATCAGCACCACCCTCACCACCACCGCTAACACCTCCACACCACCACCACCCAGCACTGCCACAACAAGCAGCTTTTCCAACCAGGATGAGGCTGACTCTGAGACTGTACCTCCCCACCAAGTGCCCGTACTGCGTTCTAACTCTGTTCCATAATCCGCACAGGAAGCCCCGCCCTCCCTCTTATTTTGCACCTTCTGTGTCATGATGAAGGGAAAGCTGCACAGCTGGTTGGTCAACAGGGAAAAGTTCTTTTTTTTTATTTTTTATTTTTTTAAATGGTTTATATCTTTGCATGAACTTGAAGTATTATTGACAATGTCTTTTTTTCTTTTTTCTTTTAAATGACTGACGTAACCGTTAGGACCGTTAGGACTTTGAGCAAACATTACTTCTTTGCGCTGAATCTTTGTTTTTGCCAGTATATTAGTTATGTATGGTGTAACCTTTTTGTCAGTCAGCCCATTTAGCACAAACATTTTTTGTTTTTTTCCTTTGTAGTATTGAATTCCATACATTCTAATTTCTTTTGCAGACTTGTTCTTAGTCTGTACTTTTCGCTGTAGTCCATCTGTAAATACCGTATAGTTTTAGCACTCATTTTAACATCTTGTGCTGCTGTGTATATAAGCACTCTTTGTCTGTACCTGCTTGTCTGTTCAAACCTGTAAATACAGAAAGATTTTCTAAGAACAAACTCAGCCTTGTTCTAGGTCCACTTTGAGCTCTAGTTTGGTTTTCACTTTCTGAGACAGCAAGTTCAGTACTGACGGGGCGGATCATCGTGCTTTAGAATACGATTTTAAGGCTTTAAAGGTGAAAAGAAATGGCACTTGTATATCATTCCTACATTTAACTACTTGTATGACCAGGGCTATCTTAAATAAACCGGACATGAGTGAAGAAAGGTGAATCAGTCGGCACAGTTGAGTTGATTGTAAGTGTCTATGAAACTTTTCAACTCATATACTTTTCCACCAGTCTGCAAATAAATACTGTGATGGCAGTCAGACCCACACCAAGTCCTGAGTGTGACATGTAATGAATCATCTAATATTTTCATGTTTTTAACTGGTAGTATATTTATTTGAAACATGTGTATAGTTACTCCATTTTTGTATACTTACTATTTTAATGATATATAATGCATATTGCAGAATGTAACAGCACATATGTGTCAAAAAAAGACTTTGATTTTGCCACCCCATTTGATCTCCATGCCACCCTCATACCACCCTAAGAAGATTTCTCTCGATCCACCCCTGAGTACTGAGTATGTAAAAGTTCTTCCAGAAGTAACACAGGGAAATGAAGTGGAACGGAAGTAAGTTCACGCCACAGTGTGTGGCTGTCTTCTTTTGAGTAGGGCGTTGTTCAACTTTGCAACCACTAGAGTGCAGGATGCCCCAATCTGCTTTTATTACTGAATGAGACCGACAGTGTAACTGTGCTGCGACCCAGTGGTTTGGGAAAAGTACTTGACACGAGTTAGAGGGCTGAGGAAAACATGTAGGACTTTAATCATCAATTGAAGACCATGTCAAGTCTTACATTTAACATTAAGCTTCATTCGGCTTTAAATTTTCAGATTTTCTTTGATAAAACATTTTAAATGTTTATTTGATTTTAATCATAGAACTCCTGTTCACAATGGCAGTCATCTCAAAACCTTATTTAACGAGTTAATGACCCTAAAGTACAGAGAGAGAACCCCCCAAATCAGACCATCCACTATGACCAGCACGTGGTGATGTAGGGGAGGATTGGCAATGGATCAGAGATCAGGAGCTGAATCATACCTTAACTATACTTACACAGGCTCACGCTCCTTGGGGACATCTCATGATGAACTAGCAGCCCCTCTCTTTCACCATCCATGTATTTATATGCTACTGTGGCATGTCAGTTACCATATCTTCTTTGTTTGTGTTTGTTTCTTTTCTGTCTATTTCACAATACCTTTCTGTAAATATCGCTGAGAAACACAAATATGTAATCAGTACAATCAGGAAACAAATGACTGAATCTGATTAGGAAGCTAAAGAGTCATTAATTCAGTGAGTGATGTTGCTACTTTTGTTGTTTTCAGTAGAATGGCATTCGTAATGTGTTGCCATTTTTTGCTTGTTGCCATGGACCCAAATGTAACCATGGAAACCACAGAGGGAAACGCAGGAGCTGGTTTTACTGATGATACTGCTATCACATCTGAATGATAGCGGAGAGCACATGCTGCAGGAATACACTGAATCAACATCTGGTTCAAAGTGTGATTGACTTTCATGGGCCAGCTCACTTTTTACGCTGCTAGTTAGTAAAACATGCCAAATTAATCCCATTCAGCTGTTAACATTTTACCCATGTTATGCTGTTAGTTGTCTAGCGTTTAGCTATGTAGGCAGCTCAGAGGCACCTGGAAGGGGTAACTTTTCAAGAATAGGGCCCGGATGTTCCCAGACAGTGGCAAGTGTCTAAAAACAGTTTCAACCCTTAGATACATACGTGTGGTTGGCCAGTGAGGTTGTTTTCTTGCAATATCTAATTAACGAAAAGTCTTCATCATTTCATGTTCCAGCTATTCCTCAAAAACATGTTGCTGATATCATACAATTGAAATTTTCAACTTACGTTTTACACATTTTACAAAAATTGTAGTTTTTGTATTACTACCCCAAACTTCAAACGTCTAAAACGACCTGCATTCATTTTTGCAGTAGATTCAGAAAAACAAGATGCACCATCACCACAGTTAACTTTTTCTCCAGTGTGCCCCTTATCCACTGGGGGGACTCTACAACTGAACAAGGCAGACATCCTTCTTCTGATCAAGGCTCCCAAGTCCTGGGAGTTTTACAGCACAGTTTGGATTCAATGGCAGCCTTACCGTGGGCAGCAAGAAAAGAAACACTGATGTACTCCTGAGCATGATGTGATACCTCTGCAAGTGTATAACACAGTGGTGGCCCATGGTGCTGTGCTACAACTTGACATTACCACCATTATTGACTTTTTAAAATAAATTAAATTAAAGAATTGTATCAACAATGCATGCCAGCTCTTCCTGACTGAGCACTCAAAAGAGCTAACCACACCACACATGAGAAGTCAACTGGAATGTTGCCCCCAAACTCCAATCACTAAGGGTGGGAAGGTGTAGGGTGGCATAAACCAGAACTCGGCCACAGGGGAAAAAACAGACAAGTTCCAACCTAAGTTAGCAAGAGTTCAGAGCCAAGTAAGAAAGATGGTAAAGTCAGCAGTCAATGAGGGAAATGCAATGTACCTGTGTGCTGGGATTCCAGCCAGAAACAGGTGGTTTGTCACAACTCTGTACAGTGAGGAGACAATGCAAGAAAAGAGAGCCGACAGTTACAGACACACATATTCTCTCTCAAACATGCACATACGCACAAAATGGATGTTGATATTGTTCTATTATGAGATTTTTTTTCCTTCAGTTTTAAAAATATATTAAAAATGTAAAATAAGTGAAAAATATAAAATATTTCAAACATTAAATCACTCTTCTGTGGACCAAAATATAGTAAGAAATATAATCCAAATTATTATTCTAAACAATGATGACAAAAGTAGCATAACAACACACAGATTCTAATGCAGGTCATTTTTGATCCACTCACTCATGCATCTAAGGGTTAAAGAGACAGAATCTAAGAAGCCTGTTTAGATATAGACCGAGGTCAAAGTTTACCATTATCACATAAATGAGTTGTTGGAACAATAGAACAGCTGAGTTACACTGTTATTGAGCAGTAATGCCAGTAAATCAATTACTGAATGTGCTGCAGCCATAAACTGTATGTAAAACATGTATGTAGTCATTGTGTGTCCCTCACTGGTTTAGGACGAGACAATTTGAAGACATTATTATTTGGCCAATGACTTTTTTATGGAGCCACAAGTATTTCAGCTGGAGTGCTCCACTATCAGCTAAAACCAGCAAGCTTGCTTAGTAAGCTGCATTCATAAACAGTGTTGGTCAAGTTACTTGAAAAAAGTAATCAGTAACTAATTACTGATTACTGCCCCAAAAAAGTAATCCCATTACTTTACTGATTACTTATTTTCAAAAGTAATTAATTACTTAGTTACTTAGTTACTTTTTAAAAACA